TTACAAATTTATATAAGTTATTAGTTTTGATCCAGTAGAAACTGAAGGTCGATCGTATACCGCAACCAGCTCCCGTCTTGCAAGGGTGTAGAGTAACGTCCTCTTGTCATGCAGATCCTCATGGCCATCGTCTCGTACACCGTCTTCCTGGCTCAGTGCCGCTCGCAGGCCGGCTCGACGCGGGCGCTGGTCCCAGTGGGCTTCACCGAAGACCACCGGGCCATGTAGAATCATGGACCCCGGAGGGAGGTTGCCGCTCACTGCCCCGCGAAGCGTGGACACAACTTCTCGGCGTTCGTCCTGGAGGCCACGTAGGCTGCGACGCCGGGCAGCGCGTCGACGCGACGCCGCAGCTCCTGCAGACCCGGGTAGCCGTCGAGGACACTCCTCCCGAGCATCGCGTCGAACCACGTCATGGGCGCGCAAAAGTACAGGTCTGCCCAGCTGAGCTGCGGAAAAGACACGCGAGCTCGTGAAACTCAGAGAAGATGGAATGGCTCACATCACGGAAGTCGAGTAACTGTACCTTGCTGTTGGCCAGGTAGCCACCGTTTGCTTTTGTCATCGCCTCAAACTTGACGAGGTAGAAGGGGATCGTCTTATCTAGCAGGGGTCCGAGTTTGGGCGTCTTGGTCTGCGCGTTGCCGTCGTAGAACCAGTCCGCCACGGCTGTTGGGGATGGGGAATGGAAGCTCTTGTCAAATAGAGATGAGTAACAGTAGGTTGGCAAACAAGGTGCCTGTAGAGATAGTTAAAAAGTGCGGAGGAGGAGGAGGGGAGGAGGCTGCGCTGAGATAAACGAAACCAGCCAGGCAACCCGGCCTTGCTCTGCTCCTGCACGATTTCTTTTGCTTTCCCTTTCCCATTCGGATCTGGCGGTCCGATCTGGTAGGTGGGCCATTCGGGAGATCCTCCTCACCGGCTCGCAGGTCGTTGAAGGCGTCTACGACCTCGTCGATGCGGAGGCACTCCTCCGGGCCGCCGCCCGCCAGCCCGACGCGCCCGGCCAGGAAGCGACAGATGGCCCTCGACTGGGTGAACATGACGCCGTCCACCTCCAGGACGGGCATGGTGCCGAACGGCATCTCTGTGACACAATGAAGGGGGCAGCTTGTAGCGTCTTGGCTCCACTCTATATTATTGTGGTCGGAATTCTCACTCCCGGACTAAGGGTCGCTCAAAGACTTCGTGACAGTAAGGGGGTGCAAATATTATGGGGTTCGAAAATGATCAGGGCCACCATTGAAGCCCGTAGGACCCTCCCATAATATTTGTACCCCCTAAAAGTCACATAGTCTTTGGACCACCCACCACCCCCAAGAAAGCCTCCGCGACCACAAGAGTGCCCGTAGGAGCAGCAGCGCACACCAGGACAGCGCCCTTACTCTTTTTGTGCTCCGGCCAGTCCTTGGCGCCGATGCGGATGTCCTCGAAGGGTAGGCCGCCGTAGTGCAGCATGTAGCGGATGGGCTCGCCCAGCCCCGCCAGGTGGAAGTAGTGGAGCTTGTAGGAGGTGCAGGGAGCCATGGCGGCGGTGGCGCAGCGGCAGGGGGCGAGCAGAGGCGGGCTGCGAGGTGCGGAGTTTGTTTATAAATAATGGGCTTTCGGTAGAACTCGCGTCAAGGTCGTGCCAAAAGTCACCTCGTGAGAACGGTACAGAATGCACACCCTTGACCCTTCATCGGTATTGCTACCGGCTGCCCCCAATAAGGGGCGGCGGCGTGCGTGTCTGGCGCCGAGGCGCGTGCCCGATCAGAGTGCAGCTCGCTCAACGCGATAGGTCATCAGCCGATACACACGACAGGCAAGTCGATGCAGTCGCGCGCTTTGTTTGACCTGAACTGAAGGTGACCGAGCGCGCGCCGCCGCTGCTGGTCAGTCGGGGCAGTGCATGTCATTTACCCCAATTTACCTGCTCGACTCACCTCTCTGGCGGCGCGGGCTGGAGGCCCCCGGGCGGCGGATGTCACGCGGACCGACGACGACGACGACGACTACTTACTTCTTTCTCCGCTCGCTCCGAGAGAAGAAAGGCGAGCGGTGCGCAGGCGGGCAGGGCAGGGCAACCCGGGAGATAAGATGCGGCACGTTCTTAAACGATTCAGTCTCCTTGTTCCCCCTTCCACCCCCACCCCACCCCCCTATTCCCCTCATTGTCCGTGCGCGCATCGCACGACCACAACAACAGCAGCTCTGGACGGGGCTGTCGTGAGAATGACCGATTGGCAAGATTTCCTCATTCCCGGCTCGATGCACCCTCGGATGCGTGTGTTGTTTCCGGAGAGTTATCGATCCTGGAGAATGCTTAGGGAGGGGCGGGCTACCCAGTGCAGCTGCAGTGGGTTCGAGTGGGTTCCCCGGACGAACCATGCGGGCATGGAACACCAAGCTGTTTCGCGTGGAAATCATTCTCTCGCTTTCACTGCTTCAACCAACCGGGCCCAAGTTCACGTGTACAAAATATAAAATGGCCGCGATCATACTTCTTCCGGGACCGGGAGGGGTCGGGGGGTCAGGGGGTCGGGGGGTCGGGTGTATAAATCGAGTCGAATCCAGCGGCTACTTCCGGAGGTCGCGACCGTGTAGTCATCGCAAATGACCCCAACGGACACCCAATGGCGTTAGCGGGGCTGCGGCCGGGACTGCCGAACCGCATTCAACCAGAAGCGGCCAGCCACCCCGATCTGGGCTGGCGGGGCGGGGCACCGCATGGCGGGGCACCGCGGGGTGGGGCACCGCGGGTTGCGGCGGG